ATCGTAATTTTTTAAAGCCGTTAGAATTTACCTCCGCTATCGTTACTCGTTGTGTCGCCGAGACGCGAATCGTCTCGGCTTTGCATTTCCTTTTTGGGTTACGTGTGTGATCGATTGGTCAAGCGGCGACTCAAGCCTTCAAGGCTTTTTTTTTGCTTTCACCGCACTCTGCTCGAGCCTCGACAACATGTGGATGGCCTGCGCATCTCTGGCTAGAGATTTTGGCGTCTCCGCCCGGTCAACTCCCTTGTCGAGGAGTCTTTTCGTATGTTACGGCCAACACTTGCACTCGCAACTTGGTTCTAAATTCACGGTGCAGCGAGCACCCGTCTTGCACCGGGGACTGGCTACACATCTAGCACGCGCCTCTGCCTCTGCTGCTGCCCTCAATACTCAACCACTGCCGGCCACAACGTCTCGGTCGGTTCCGGAGGTCGAATCCGACGATTTGCCCATGATAAGCATGGATGACCGGAAGGTTGCAGTAGGCTGGGATACACGAACATGGTCCCGTTTGTATGGATTCCGGGTTTTTTATCCCGCTTACTTTGCTGACGTCTTGTAAAGCCACAATATCTGGCTTCGCGATCATTGCCGGTGCCCGCAGTGCTTTCACCCGATAACAAAACAGAGACTGGTCAACACCTTCGAGGTGGGTGTTACCCAATTTTGTATTGGATGATACTGACCCTTCCGCCAGATACCTCCTGATATTACGCCGAGCCACGTCGAGCCAACTGCAGACGGGCTTCAAGTATCATGTATGAATGATATGCTCCTTTTACTCCGTTGAGTCCAACCTTTTCGACAGGGCCTTCCTCACAACCCCACGTATCCCTTTATCCATGGTCATGGCTCCAGAAAAATTCTTACGATCCGGCTCTCCGGCGAAGAGAAACTCAGTTAGAGTGAGCATGATATAATGGTCCACTAACACCATCTCAATCGGTTCTAGAAAAATTCTTTGGAGCTCGAAAATTCAATCATCACCACCGACGATAACATACCAGGAGGCAATGGCAGAGGATGATCGCGGGCTCTACAAATGGCTGTCTCATGTGGTAGGTACCGTCCATATTATTTCCCTTCAAAAAACTTCAATTCATCTCAGGACCATTTCGGGATGTGCTTCGTATCTGGTGTCCCACCTACGCCGGAGGCCACTGAGGAACTATCCCAACGCATCGGTTTCATTCGCGAAACTCAATGTCAGTTTGGGGCTTCTCGAGGCATTCTGTTCTAATTGGCTATGTTTAGACGGTAAACTATGGGACTTCACCTCGGACCTAGCAAAGGGCGACACTGCATACACCACGCTAGCTCTTGGTGCACACACGGACAACACATATTATGTGCGTTGTATCCTCGTATTGCGTATTTATTGGTAACACTCCCTGCAGACTGACCCTTGCGGTCTCCAACTGTTCCATTTGCTTTCGCATACTGATGGCTCTGGTGGCTCCACGCTCCTAGTTGATGGATTTTATGTCGCTTCTATTCTCAAGGAGTTGCACCCCGACGCATACTCCATCCTGGCGCGCACACCCGTCCCCGCTCATGCCGCCGGGGAACCGTCTGCTCTCTACCAGCCTCATCCCATTTCGGGATATCCAGTGCTCGGTCATGACCCGCTGACCGGAGAACTCATAACAGTGCGATGGAACAACGACGACCGAAGCGTCATGAACAATCTGGATCCTTATCAAGTCGAGGAATGGTACAATGCCATTCGGACGTGGCACAAACTCCTCACGAGTGCCGACTCGGAGTACTGGGTTCAGCTTGGTCCAGGGACCGCCGTCAGTGCGTGCAATCCCGTTTCTTTCAGTTTCATTGCCTCATCTGTTGCTCGCAGTTGTGGACAATCACCGTGTTCTGCACGGTCGTTCCGCGTTTACAGGCAAACGCCGTATGTGCGGTGCATACATTGGCGTGACGAGTATCGTTCCAAACTCGCCGTTCTGCGCGAAAAGTTCGCCGCAAAATCTGACAAGGCTTCTGAGTCCGAGCCAGTAACAGACCGAAGCATCTGGAGCCCGCTCTTTAATCATCTACCCTTTCCTTGAACACTCATATGTATCATTTGTACCATACGACATCACTTACTTATCTCTTCCTCATGTAGGGTTTTGCTTTTAGGCGCAAACTCTGTACCATCCCATGTAACTCGAGCACTTGACATTACGCTGTCTTTCCCCATGACTGAATGTGAAAGCAAGGTCCTATTTGATACATGCAAAAGATTACTGCGAAAACAATGAATACTTTTTGAAACCCGTGGCTGTTCAGGCAGTTGCTGGCCTCTGCGGCCTGAATCTCCTTCAAGATAAAGCCCTCTAGCCCGCCGCATACCCACAGTTCTTGTACGCTTGCACCCACGGGTTTTACAGAGTAAACCTTGTCGGTCAAACCGGGATACCTCCATCTATTGTCAGCACCACCTGGCCATCCACCATTCCCACAACCACGCTAAGGCCGCGATCCACGGTCAGTTCGCCCTGCAGGCCGCCAGCACCCCGAGCTCCGCCTTTCGCATAACTAGCGGTTAAATCCGCCACAAGCTCTGGGCACTCCAAGCACACCAGCCCGTTGTTGATCGCGTTCCGCTTGAATATATCGCCAAACGAGCCCGCGATCACGACGGGTATTCCTGCCGCCTTGAGCGCCGTCGCCGCCTGCTCGCGCGAGGACCCAGTGCCAAAGTTGTATCCCGACACCAGTATTACGCCTGTCGCGATTTCGCTGTCAGGCGAGAGAGGTGACTGTTTGTGGGATAACGAGGCGACGAGCGGCGCGAAACCCGGGTCGTAGTTCTCCATGACGACTTCGGCTTGCCGCTGGAGGGTGATGTCGTCCTGGTATGTGTATTTGCCAGGATAATGGCGTCCGTGTTGAGATTGTCCTGCGGCGCGAATAACAGCGGGCCAGCGAACGATTGGGGAAACCGGGCAGGACGGGTTCACTCGGCTGGGAAACAGTGGGCTGGGCAGATGCGGGCGATTCATTTGATATGGAAAACGTGGGTGCGTTTACGGGAGGGAGGGCGGAGGGATCGACGGAGGCGGGGCCACAGATGTACCCTTTGATAGCACTGGCGGCGACGACAGCCGGGCTAGCAAGGTACGCAAGCGCCTTCGGATGACCCATCCGTCCCTTGTAATTGCGGTTCGTCGCGCTGATGCCGGTCTGACCCTCTTCGAGTAGTCCAGTGCCTAGCCCAATGCATGGGCCGCACCCAGCGGGAAGAACTTTAGCACCCGAGAGGATGAGGGTGTCCCAGTCACCCAGTTTCTCGGACTCTAGTTGGACTGCAGAACTCGCAGCGGCGATGTAAAACTCGACTCCAGGTGCGACTTTATTTCCTCGCATAACAGCTGCAGCTGCGGCGATATCGGAGACCCTGGAGTTGGTGCAACTCACGAGGTAAGCTTTTTGGATCGCGACGTGCGACTGCTCGAGGATAGGAAGAGGAGTCGATATTTTAACGCTGTTGGGACCTGAGACGTGGGGAATAAGAGTGGAGAGGTCGAATATTAGATGCGCGGAGTATGCTGCATCAGGGTCCGACTGTAAATTGCTAGAGCGAAGCTCATCGAGTCGACGTCGGTGAATTCGAGGATGTTCAGGCGGGGGTGGAATCAAAGCCGCCATTTCGGGCGACGAAAAGGTCCGCAGCTCGAGTTTAGTTAAAACGCGGTCATACCACTGAAGTAACGTCTCGTCGACCGGGAATACGCCGACCAAGGCACCCCACTCCGTCGTCATGTTGGCTATCGTTAACCGCTCGTCAACGCTCAGGGTCGCAACTCCGTCACCAGTGAACTCGATCGCAGCATTGAGAACCTCGTCATTGTTGAAGGAGCTACACAATGCAACAATGACATCCTTTCCGGTGACACCTGGAGCGAGCTTTCCTCTCAGCTCGACCTTGACCATGCGCGGGACTTGCCACCATGTTTTGCCAGTCGCCCAGAGAGCTGCCGCGTCGGTACGGACGATGGGTGTCCCCACACACCCTACGCCGCCATACATGTTGCTGTGGCTGTCGCTTGCAACGGTGAGGGTGTACGGAAACGCGTAACCTTCCTCGACCAGAACCTGGTGTCCAATGCCGCGTCCTGCAGGATAGAAATCAATTTTGTGCTGTCGCGCGAATTCTTCAATCGAAGCGTATTTCGATAGGTTCTTTGCAGACCGGTTCTGTACGTCGTGATCGAGGGTGAATACTGGTTGTACAGGATTCTGGATTCGGGTCGCGCCGATCGACTTGAACCTTGGTATACATATTTTGAGGACGTGCAAAGATAAAAAGAGACCAAGACAAACTTGGATATGACGGGACCAGTATTGTCGTGGGTCATAACATGCTCGGGGCGTATCATGACATAGTCTCCCGCCTTGACCGCCTTGCCTGGTGGAAGGCCAACAGCATACTTTTGTACAACCTTTTCAATGACAGTTTGCGGGACGCGAGGGCCAGCCCCAACAGCGGTAGCGAAGCCCCGCGCCCGGGTCCAGAGACCAAGATGCTGCAAGCAGTTCATGCAGAGCAAAAGTCAGGAACCAATGAGAGCGCGGGAATTTACTGATCGGGTCGTCGTAATTGTTACAGGCGTCCTCCTGAGCGCGTCCGTCACACGCCATCCCGCCTGTTATACTATAACCTACAAGTCGCGCGAAATACTGTGTTTGCGAATGAGTTCTGTCCCGTCAGCAACTGACTACCGCACTGAATAAGTACCCCTTATCCTCAGGTCATGCCATCGATGTCTTGCTATTCGTGCCACGCTGAAATGGTCAAGTCCGCTCCCCCTTTCGACTTGGTGCATTTTTCACGGTTTTATATGGTAAATGCACCAAGTTCGTCCCCCCTTTCAACTTAGTGCATTTTTACGGTTTATGCAAACCCACCGCACATGAAAATGCACATTTCCTCTTTTCGACGTGGTGTACAAAAGAAATTGATCTGTGATTACATCCTTTAGCTATATATTCCTACGGCGTGGATGGTGTAGCGGTAACATTGGGTCTTCCCACATTATGTGATACCGTTGGCCTAGCTCCGGGTTCGACTCCCGGTTCACGCATTTTTACTTCTTTTGCTTATTTCCCCGCCGATTCTTTTTCACATCCGCCAGTATGGTCTTGGGTCGATATCGAATTGGTGTCGACGTCGGAGGTACATCACATCTCTACTTTCAAGTTACCTTTTGACCAGTTTAGGCACAAATACCGATGGAGTGATAATCGACATAACAAGGACCTCAGATCCGTTGACGAGAGGTGTTATAGCGAGCTTTAAGTGCGAGACGACCTTGAATGTAACGGATGGCATTGAAGCGGCCGTGAGGAAGGTAATCACCGATGCTGGTGTCGATCCACAGGACGGACAGATTCTCAGCTTGACTATCGGAACTACTGTGGGTTTACTTTGCTTGGCGCAGATCGTCTGCTCAGTTAATATTAGCATTTTATCAACGCGGTGGTTCAAGCGGATTCAAGGAGATTGTCAAAGGTCGCCGTCATCCGCTAGCCGCTCCCTACACTTTCGAACATCCACCAGTAAGTTTTCAACCATCGATCAAATAAACATTTCGAACGATTTCGACAGTTTATCGACTTTCCCTCACATCTAAAATCACTCATGAATGGGCATACTGCAATAATCAAGGGAGGACTACAGATGTCAGTTAAATATCTATTGGACTCTGAATAATGGTTGAAAGTTTTGCAGCGATGGTCGTGCAATCAACGACATTGACGAAGCCGAGGTCATCGAACAGGCCAAGCAAATTAAATCCAAAGGTCTCCGGGACATTGTTCTCATCGGGATCTGTTAGTTATTTAACTGCCGCTCCAGATAAGTAGGTAGCTTTCTGATATTTTCCTTCGCAGTTTCTCCGTTAGATGTCAGTGGACAGAATGAATACTTGGCCCGGGATATCCTTCTTCGAGAACTTGGGCCGAATGTCAACATCGTGTGTTCCCGTGATGGTCTGCCAATTTACTTTTAAAACACAAAAAACGAGCTCAAGTTTCTTTCGTACCATAGTTGCGCAAGTGGGGTTCATCGAGCGTGAAAATGCATCCATTCTCAACGCATCGATTGGTGCATTTGCGAAACGGACCATCCGTGGCTTCGAGAATGCCATGAAGCGGCTGGGACTACTGTGTCCTTTATATCTCACCCAGGTTTGTATTAATTTTGCCCTTTTCGAGATGTTCTGATTTTTTGCCCGATGCCAGAATGATGGGACACTCACAAGTGCGACGGATGCTGCAAGGCTGCCCATCCGAACCTTTTCTTCTGGTGCCACCAACTCTATGCGCGGTTTGCCAATCATATTTTTCGTGATGTTTCTTCCTACTCAACAGCCGTGAAGGAGCCTCGTTCTTGGCAGGAATCGATCTCAAAAAGAAGGAAGAAATGGCCAAGAGCATGATTGTGGTGGACGTTGGTGGAACTTCAACGGATGTAGGTGTTCTGCTTCCCAGTGGATTTCCAAGGCAAGCGGCTGCGTTCATTGAAGGTTTGTAATGACGAAGATTTTGAATATGTCAAGCTGATAAAACATCCAGTTGCTGGTGTTAGAACAAAGTCAGTTGTCCACAGATCTTTCTGTTAACCGGCTTATTGTAGACTCAGTTTCTCGATGCCGGATGTCAGTTCTATTGGATTGGGTGGCGGGTCCAGAGTTCGAGTAGATGGAAGCAGTGGCCGCATTACTATTGGGCCAGATTCCGTTGGCCATTATGTTTGCCGTTTCTTGCTCTGCCTTTCCATCCAATACTCACTTATCACATTAGTTGACCCGCGACGCGAAAGTCTTCGGAGGCGACGTTTTGACAGCCACCGACATCGCTGTGCGTTCTGGCGTTGGAGGTATCGGTGACGCGATGAAAGTCGAATGCGTTTCGGATGAAATTGTCACGCAAGCAAAGAAAGTAACAAAGAAATTGCTAGAGGTTTGTTGGAATCCGTTTAAAGGCAAATCGAGACTCAACAACCGCTACTTTTTATTAGAACGTCATAGACAAGATGAAAACCAGTCCAGAAGACTGCACAGTCTTGCTAGTCGGAGGCGGTAGCATCATTGTTGCTCCAGAGCTGCAGGGCGTGGGGGAAATTGTGTATGTTGCTTCCTGCAACTCCCGGGCATACTTGAGCTTACTGTGAGAAGTATCCCGCCTTTCCATGGTGTAGCAAACGCTGTTGGTGCTGCCATCGCGAACGTTTCGGGCGACATCGACACCATTGAAATACTGCAAGGACAAAACTACCCGAAGTATTGGAGCGTATTAAAAAGCTTGCACTCGCAAAGGCTATTGAAGCCGGAGCAGAGCCCAAGAGTGTCTCAATCGCCGAGATTAACATCCTTCCTGTCCAGGTTTGATCATTGTTTTTGTCCGCAATTTCTCATTTAGCCATTTGAAGTATGTCACGAACCAGGCAACACGGATCATCGTAAAGGCTATTGGAGAGCTCGGAATTCCCAACGAGCCATGGCTGCTAAAAGCTGACTCTACAGAACATGCCGATATGGAGGAAGAACCCGATTCAATGCAGCAAATTATTCTTGAGGGGAGTGACGGTGCAAAGGAGATCGATTATCAGTCATACAGGCCTAAGATTGTGGGGAATGAGTGGATTTTGAGCGAGACAGATTTATGTGAGTATACAAGGACTGTCATTTTGTGGTTCTCAACTTTGTTGGTGCAGTCTTCATCCAGGAAGGATGCGGAGTCCTCGGGACAGTTCGTTTCAATCGACGTACCAGTCATTCTTGAAGCTCATATACTACAGGGCGGAGGCGGGGATCCGTATCCGACGTACTTGAAGACAAGACAAATGCTTCGCGACGGTAAGGAGCTCCGGATTGTTGATCACTCGTCGCTACCAAACGACGCGGTGCTTGCCCGTGGTGGTACGAGATTTTTTGGGAAAAACTGACGGCGACTCTTACTCTACTCCATGTAAGGCTTTATGGGCTCGCCTTCGGTCGGCTCAGAGCGCCTGACGGCAGGCGCTGATATTAAGGAGGCTGGGGAAGCACTTGCCAAGTTCTGCGGAGTCTCGAGTTTTGCCGCGACACTGTGGTACGTCAAACAATAGACTTGAAGTGTTTCATGCTCCAACATTTTCTTCGAGTGACGAAATCGGAGGTAGCAACGGTATGCAGTCGTTAATCATGGCTGGCATCTACGGAATACCGGCATTCGACGGTGATCTTATGGGTCGCGGTGCGTTTCTCCGTTGGAGTAGAAAGGCCTAGCTTATGCACACGGTTTAGCATATCCCAAACTCAACCAGGTTTTACCAGGTCCGTATTACTGTCATGCACTTTCTGTTCTCACGGTTGATCCAGCTGTATATGATCGACCGAATGCGTTAGTATCTTCTGCCACATCGTAATTTCTCTCATCATCTTACATTCAAAGACTCATCCCTTCTGCGTTGTGCGACGGCGATAACAACGTCATCGTAGGTGTTTTCCTTGTATCAGTCTCGTATTCTTGCTGATGAAGGATGGATAGCTTCTCACCAAAGTCAAGAATGACCATATGGTTGAAAGCCTGATGCGCACGGTGACCACTGAAATGGGATCCTCGGCGGCTCTCTGTTGCCCTCCACTAGCGGTCAGTGACGCTCGCGACTACGGCGTACCCCGTACGCAGAGTCAAGCCTGGCGAATAGGCAGGGCTATTTCCATCTGTCGTCAAACAAAGTAAGATTCCGTTTCAAGCGTTGGCAAGTTTAACCTGGCGGACCACTCAGCAACATGAAGGCTATCCCCGACGCAATTCTGGAGCTGCAAAGCGGTGTTTGTCTCTTTATCGGCAAGATTATCAGCTGTTCACGGGCAAGTACCAAGCTGGAATGTGGGACGTGTCTCACCCGTTAGATAGGAAGTGCGAGCAGGCTTTACCTGGGGAGAGATCCGGATTGCACAGCTGCTCGATGAAGAACTTGAGGAACTTACGACTCCTGTCAACGCTGGTCCCGACGACCACATGGTCATTCCGTTCCAAAATGAGAATTTGTGTGCTTATATCGAGAAGGAGGACGGGTCTCGAAAGGTATTTATTTGCAAGAGAGGCCATTTCCCGCTGACGACCGTCCCAGTTGGCGGCCATTGTACCTGACCTGATTTCGGTTTTGGACTCGCAGAGTGGATCTAATCTTGGATCACAAGATTGTGGGTTGTATCTTTCTGCCGTAGATGTCCAATGTAATATTCCCCCCCCCGGTGACAGACAGTTACGGTCTTCGGGTTACAGGTATGTTACCTGCTTGTCAAGTCAATGAACCCTCAGTTTGAATGGTGCAGTGATCGCGATGGCTGGCTCTCCCCTTTGGCATTCAGAAGCCGGACTTGCAACTGGGGGACCTGCTGCGTTTGGGTAAACTTTCAATTCAGAGTTGCAAGACTGCGGGCTAACTGTTTCATTAGCTTTGACCACCAATTCACGCCGATTGGTAAATATGTTAAACCTCGCTCGGTTATTGAGGAGTACAGGCAGTAGATATAACTGCCGGCACCTTCTAATGCGCAGTGGTTCCTTCTTGTTCCTGGAAGTTATCGTTCCGCCTCGAATTCCAATTCCCAATCACTGCGCACTGTCGCTGCGGAGTGATTGACAAACTCAACTGTTGCTGCGGCCTTGGACGGGGGGGATATTTATGTCAGGCTGAAGGTTCACGACCTTTTTTTCGGGGGTGCGAGGACTCGGAGGGGGGAATTGTGTGTCAATTCAGAGCCGAGCTGCACCGTTCTACTGTATGGATTTCTTGTGGATTTCAGTTTGAGTCGCTCGTCTGCAGAGGAGGTTGAGAGAGGTTGAGAGGAAACAAGCTTAAGCGGCCGGGCCGCAGTGATGGGATCATACTTTATTCCGTTCGTCTTCGGTCATATCTTGGTCCTTTATGAAGGCCCTCGAAGAGTCCTCGCGAACCAACATGGACTTCAAAGTATCCTTGTCCCCGCCACTTCCTCCCTTGAAAGTGCCTCGCACGCGCTTGCAAATTGGGCGATCGCAATTGCTTGCGTTGTTGGCTCTGCTATTGGCCTCCAACTTCGTTGTCTTT